ACCTGCCAAGCACCCTTTGTGGGCTTTTTAATTTTGTAGAAATTTGTATTTAAAACTGCATTCTTACAAAAGGAATGAGTCCAAAATTGAAAAATGTTACATTAATATCTAGTTTTTAATAAGACTATATAAATGTGCATTATTTTTTTCCAATAGTATTGTGGGTACACATGCCGCAACTGACCCATCTTTAAGCATTACTTCAAGAGCGCCAGCAGGACGCCGCCGGACATACCAACCTTCCAGCAAGGGTCTACGGCGGACTACCGGCGCCAGCGACCAGATGCGTACCCATATACCTACGACCGACTCCACACACAGGGACTCTCCAACGAACACTCACCCCGTCAACACGTCTTTTTCTATACAACTTAGTTTTTAATAAAATACTTTATTATTACCGTTGAGAGAGCGTTTTGTTCTTGCTGTACAGCAAAAGCAACCCTCAGTATCACCCTCTGATTTTTTTGTGTGAAGATTCCGATACAACCCATATTCAATATTTTTTTACAAATTTACAGTTTTTGACATTTTAAATACTAATACCTCCGAGGTTGAACAATCTACTTCCCACTAAAGGATCGATATATTTATAGTTTTAGCGGCGTTTAAAATTTTTAGCTCAAGGACAAATTTCCAGAAACTTTGAGGCAGCAATTCGAAAATTCTTTTTTAAAAATATTTACTTTTACTTTCCTTCAAGAGACTAAACTTTTCGGAACCGACTGAAAAAGGAAGAGACGAACTCACCTTGAAAATATGTTTGTATCACTGCTCTTTAGGCCTTTGAGTTCGGATTCCCGTTCCCATATGGCTGACTAACAAGCCGCGCACATTTCTCGGAAGGTAGTCTAACAAGGCTTTTAACTTTTTGGACTGCCACTTAAGAGTGCGATCCGAATGTCTAGACATACTCGCATTAACAATTTAAATTCCCAGGATACTCTTACCGTAGCGAAATCTCTTGAACATGTCTGCCTCTGCAGTGGTCGAATTTTATAATCGATTAGATCCGATAGATATGCTTTATTAGGAGATGGTTAGCCTCAGACTATATTTAAAACCATAGCAGGAAATTCTCCATTAAAGAAGGATACGTAGGTACCTATTGGTAATCATTGAAAAGATATGCAATTTTTTTGTTCTCGCATTTTTAGAATAATTGTACTTAGAGCATCATTTGCCTTTAACAAAGTTATGATACAATACTACTTAGAGAAATTGTTTGTGTCTTGTCTTTTGATCAGGATTCATAAGCAGGTACTTGATTTAACTGTTCATGAGCGTGTCTTTACAACAACAAAAAACTTTTTCGTGCAGATTTTAATCAATTTTGCATCGTCTCGACTGCCTCATTAAATTTCTGATTATGCAAAAGCTTTGTACAAATGGGAGTCTGATAGTACCAAGTTCTGACATTGCAGGCGCTTTATGCAGTAACAATACGCTTTGATTAAATTTTCGATCTATTCCTTGGTACCAATATACAGCTTGACTAAAGCCATGGGCACCTTTAAATTTGTGATCAGATGAACTAGGTGTAAGGGTATTAGAAAACAGCGGAAGTACGTCTTATATTTGTCACAAATAATTTTTAATAGAAAATATAGTATTATGATATAAAATCATCTTTCTTTAAACGTATTAGGTACTTATGTCAATTTTAGTAACTCATACGTAGTCATCTAATAGAATATAATCGTCTGAGATATTTAATATTCCTGGCGGATATAAGGATTGGCATTTTGAGCATGTATTTTTTAAGGTTCAAAATACTTCGACATTGGTGATGCGTACTGATCTTTGATATTTATTTTAAGAGTGGTCTGACTAATTTCAGGAACATTATTGTTGCAGAAATTATTTACAGTTTCAGGATATTTTTAGAAGACAATTGAATCAATATCTGATATTTTGGAATGAAGTCATTAGTATCTGGTATTTCCACATTATTTCATTAAAGTCATATAATTTCATACTGTTTAACGATACAGTATGTATGTATGCATATACGTCTAAATTGCTATCATCACATTACGTATGAATGAGATCTTATTTCGCAATTTTTTTTAGTTATACGTATCTTCATCTTCATCTGTGTATTAGATTGATAGTTAAAGTTATTTGAATCCTGTGGTGCTGCTCAAAATGATAACAATGGCAACCACGGGTGAATGTTACATAGTAACCGATTGATTATGTAATTATTAATGAATTATTAATATTAAGGTGTGGTAAGTTGAAAGACCTAAGACCTTATTCCACATTAAGATGCCTTGCGAAAGAGCTGCCAATGATTTCATTTTCGGGCAGTCATTTCTTAACTTGTATTTTCAATAAACATGTATGTCTTTTCTACCAACTAATTAGTATTTATAAATGTTAATTAAAGTTCGAAGATGAATTTTAAATTTCACTTTTCTCTTGTATCTCTCAATCGGAAATACCTACGGACATATCACATATAATATATTGAAATTAAGAGTTATATCCAGCGACTTTCCAAATCAAAGGTACCGTATTTGTAGAATAAAAGTAAAAGCATCGTCCATCCGTATAAGACATAATGTATCGAATGTAAACGTGAGGACTTTTTATTTACAATTATAAGTTTTAGGCTTTGAATAAACTAACAATTTACCAAGATGTTTATCAAATAACAAGTTTTGAATAAAAGGTGCGTATTTTGTAGCATAAAGTTTGTAGAATTAGCTTCCCTAATTTAATAAGTTAAATTAACACTACAGTAGGCAACCAGTTATACAATCTCCTGCATCATGGGTCGTCATCATTAAAATAATTCAATTTAAATTATTTAACACGTCTATTACAGTTTATCAAAATTGTTCATCCCAGAATATCAAAATAATCTACTTCTATTTATAACTTGTTAAAATTTGAACTTTCAGTTATATATTTTTGTTTTTGTAAGGAAAACGAATAAGGATTAACAATTAACGGATTATTGTTATCTTTCTCGAAAATGTGTATAATTTAAATAAAGAACTAACGCTCGTACTTGTTAAAACAAATTTAAGGTAGTTTTTAGTATTCGTGGAGCTCATATTTGATCCCAAAAATATAATGCCGGTATTTATAGAAATATAAATTTTTCAATTGGTAACACTATCCAGCTGTATACAATGAAGTGTTTATGCTAGCTAGTTATTCAAGGTAAGAAACTGTTTTAAGAAATTTTAAATTAAAATTTCATAAACATTCGACTAGTGCTGTTAATGTAAGTAGCTAAAATCAAATCTAATGGATTACAGGAATACATATGTACAGGATGATTAATTAACAATGGGATGCTGAAGATACTATGCGTGAAATGGTGATCATTGGCGCAAGCATGCCTTATCCGAAAGTTGATAGTTTCGGAAATACAGGGTGTTAAATGTTAAAATTTTAAATCGTTTTTTTATTCTGAAAATATGTAGCTTAGGAACTTGAAAATTTGTGAAATTATATTTTTTTAGGCGACGAATAAGATGCGTGTTGTAATTTCAGCATTGCTCATAGAGGGCGCCACTTTCGACCAATTTTACCGAAAATTTAGTTAATAACTTTTTACCCTGTATTTCTAACATGAAACTTGATTCAAAACCTGAAAGAGCAATATTTTTTCCATTAATTATGTATTCTTGTTTCATTTCGGTATCTCGATCCGTTTTCGAGAAAAATCGATTTAACGAACACTATGTTATGATAATACGAGAAATTAAAAGCGAAACAAACCAAGTGTTTCTTCGTGTTATTACAACAATTAACAATAAAACAAATTAAATTCGTAATAAAAAAGTCAGTGTTCGAAGAATCCACCGTTGATATTTACACACTTTATACAACGTTTTCTGAGAGATCTTCGAGTTTGAAACAACATATTGGGATAGCGTTTGACTTCGTTGGCAGCGATTTGTATTCTTTGCCACAACTTTGCACGCGAACCAATAGATTCTTCGTAAACTATATCTTTCATTCGAGACCAAATAGAAAAATTAATAGGATTAAAGTCCGGACTTCTGGGTGGCCAAGTAAAAATGCTTCCACGGCATGTAAGCATGTTTGCTTGGCCACCCAGAAGTCCGGACTTCAATCCTCTTGATTTTTCTATTTGGTCTCGAATGAAAGATATAGTTTACAAAGAATCTATTGGCTCGTGTGAAGAGTTGTGGCAAAAAATGACAATGAAGTCAGACGCCATCCCAATATGTTGTTTCAAACTCGAAGATCTCTCAGAAAACGTGTAAAGTGTATTACTTTAAATCATAATTACGAATTTCATTTGTTTTATTGTTAATTGTTGTAATAACACGAAGAAGCACTTGGTTTGTTTCGCTTTTAATTTCTAGTATTATCAAAACATAGTGTTCGTTAAATCGATTTCTCTCGAAAACGGATCGAGATACCGAAATGAAACAAGAGTACATAATTAATGGAAAAATTGTAGCTCTTTCAGGTTTTGATTCAAGTTTCATGTTAGACATACAGAGTAAAAAGTTATTAGCTAAATTTTCGGTAGAATTGGTCGTAAGTGGCGCCCTCTATGAACAATGCTGAAATTACAACACGCATCTTATTCGTCGCCTAAAAAAATATAGTTTCACAAATTTTCAAGTTCCTAACCTACATATTTAAAGAATAATCTAAAAAAAAAACGATTTAAAATTTTAACTTTCAACACCCTGTATTTCGGAAACTATCAACTTTCGGATAAGACATGTTTGCGCCAATGGTCACCATTTCACGTGTAGTATCTTCAGCTTTCGATTTTCCCATTGTTAATGAATCACCCTGTATACCTATTTATTGAAACGTGTGAGAAATAATTCTACGTGTATTGCCTGGAAATTTTTTTAATGATACTTGTGTTAGATTTTCTTGTAAAAAATACCCGAATCCTCTTTACATAATTATCATAACTTTTTTTTATTATTTCTGAGAAAATACAAAAGTTACAGCAACTTATAACAATAAATAATAACAATAATGGCACATCGTTTATTGTCTATAGTTTTAATTTTTATTACCTACATATGATTCACAAAGAGGATGTACGAAGAGTTTTATCAAATAAATAAAATAAATAAGTTAAACAAATAATATTCTTATAACCACTTTTATATCTTTGACTAGGAATGTTTATTTATATCGTTGCTAAAAATATAACTAAGTTAATTTTTACAACATAAATACTGAAAATATAAAGAGAAGGATATATTTCCTTAGATTAAACAAACTGAGATATAAATAAAAAAAATAAATGTGACAGATTCATATTTGCTAATATTATACAAAGTACCTTTTAACTATAACATTCACAATCTTGGTCTTATTCAGCACTAAGTACATTCACTTTTGACTAGATAATACGCTTGGCATTTTCGTACATCCCCCAATAAGGCAGTGTAATTTCAATAAAACTACGACGTCTCGTCAATTCTTTACACAGTGCATCATGACGTTTATCTTAGCATATTTGGATATCATATAATATGGCATCATTGAAAAGAAAAAACAATTCCGTATTGCTAAAAATTGTTTCTATAGAAACTATATGGTTTGGTCTCATTCTCATTGTTACTCAGTGTTGTCTATGTAAGGTTAAAAAAAAGAAGTGTAAGTACATGTGGAATTAATATACTGTGGTGTTTTTATATGCAACTTTGTATTATCTCCAAATATTACTAAGAAGATTAGATCTCTCCAAAATGTCAGTGTGCATTCACGCTTCTTGTATTTCACCTTTGAACCCGGGTGCGTGGTGGAAATCGTGCCTGTTCAGCTTGTGAGCCAACTCCTGCAGAACGTCTCTGAAAATCAACGAGTCCACATTCTCCCCCAGCATGTAGAACAAGAACCAGTCACCCATCTTACTTCGCCTCACGATAGTGTCGATCACGTCCTTCCGCACCAACCTGTACCGCATCCTCAACAAGTACACCCGCATCCGCGGCGAGAAAATAATAATTACTCTATAGATCACTGTTAGGAACGTCAGTACCGACAGTATTATGAACCAGAACCACAAGAACACGTATATCTTCTCGTTCACCACGTTCAAAGGCAGAATACACAGCGCGTCGTGCTTCTCCTCGTCCCCGGAGACGCCGTACTTCCGGAAAGTGCACTTGGTCATCCTCGGAAAGATTTGGATCATCGGGTCGATTCGGTCCTCCTGGTCGCTGTTGATGAAGGTCAGGACGTCGAAACCGAACATCAGGAAAGCTCCGTCGAAGAATCTGTTCATCAGAAACATTTGCCCTGAAAATATGAACAGCAATCAGTAAAACAAATAGGAAAGGTTTATTTTATTTATCTTTTACATAATATTCCCCTTAATTTTCTCGAAAGAGAATAAATATAAACTTTTATTTGAACATTGTTTTCGTGATCAATTTTATGCATAGAACAAATCTGAAAAGCTGTGAAAATTTTCATACGCTCTAATTGAAGTTGAACTCTATATGATAACTAAAGTTTTATTTCTGTTTTATAAATGAAATAGTCACATTATTTTTTTTATCGTTAAAATTTGCACTCCGTGATTTTCTATTTACTTTTCTTTAAGAACTTTCTTAACAATTTTCCTAGGTTTAAAAAAATTGTTTTCGTAACCGATAGAAGAATCCGAAAGTACAGCGAAATATTTTATACAATAAACGAATTCAGATTTTTTGCACATTATTTTTTTATTAGACATTTCACGATCTTGGTCTCACTTTCATGTCTCAAGAGGCATAGGAACTCTTAAAATATTACTCCCCAAGTGATTTTGTACATCGAAAGTATGTACATTGAAATTTTTGTACACTATAACTGAAATCAAATTTTTGGTTGTACGATTACTAAACTATTAAAATATTTCTGTTTCATATTAATATTTTATATCTTTCCATTTCAAAAGCTAAACAAATTTTGAATATTTCAAAACCATAAGTGACCAAACTGACTTTGACTAAATTCAAAGTCAGTTTGCTTTTTTTTATTTTACTTTATTTTTCTCTTAGTTTTTATCCAGAGAAGAGATAGAAAAATAGAAAGATTTTGATCATTAGAAGAAATCGAAAGTATAGTGAAATTTTTTATACGTTTAATTAAAGTCAAGTGTTGTACTGTACGATTACTAAACTATTAAGTATGAGGGATGCTTTCGCTGTACAGCAAAAATGTAACGCTCTCTCAACGGTACAAATAAACTATTTTTATTGACAAACTAAGCTTGTGAAAAAAGACGTGTTGTCAGTTCGAATGTTTGCTGGAGTCCCTCATGGTGTCGAGTACATGGTCCTTGGCGCCAATCTGCCGAGGTCGTCTTCCGGGAACCCTGGTGCGTCCGGGCGTCAGGATGGCACTATTGACGTACTTAAAAATAGGTCACTTGCGAACATGTGTACCCACAAGTATTTGTATTTTATAGCAATACGTATTTATCTTGCTTGAGTATCTAGATTTTTTTCCAAATGATTTTTGTTTCTCCAAAGGGCCTAACAACTTAGTGTTGTTTTCTGAAAATAGTAATCGAATTTCGAACTTATAATTATTTTTTCCATCATTAACAAACATCTCTGTTGAAAATTTGAAACATTTCTGACTAAAATTATAGAAATTAATGAGGAAAAACCATTTTTTGTTTTTAACTTTGACACCCTGTATCTTTTTTATTATGCGACTTGGGATATAGGTATGTTAGGTTAAATCGACTTATTTTCACCCAAGGAATATCTGGTATCATTTGTGCTCCTCCATTTAAATACACCTGTATATCATTCTAATCAGAAAAAAGGTAGGAATCGAAAGAAAATTTCCTAAATTTCTTTTATACTCTAGGACCATCAATAATTTGCAAATTTAAGAATGATTAAATAGTCATATCTTGTAATTTTTTTATGCAACTTTAATTTACCAATGCTGTTTCTCTTACTTTTTTGTGCAGAGACAATATTGGAATTATTTTTTAAAAATACTATGAATTTGACCAATTTTCTATACAGAAGAAAGCGAAAGCACATTGAAACTCTTTGTGCACTCTAATTGAGGTCGAATCTTTTTTTGTACGATTACTAAACCATTATTTCTGTTTATAATAATATTTTGGTTGTAGTTTCAAATTGCCATCGTTAAAATAGTTTATTTAAAATCGAACGTATCTACTAATACGTAATATTCAAATAAACCAACCCGCGTGTGTAGTCTATTGGAGATTGTAGCAGCCAAATAAAAATCGCCAAATGTTGATTTCTCTACACTGCCATGGTCGCTGGAATTCTATATTTAGGATTGAGCTGAAGAAAAGTGATTTATTTTGAAATTTTTATAGACTCTGTCTATAATTATTTGAGGCTGCAGTGGTGAAAGAATAGCAGCGCATAAATCTTAAAAACATAACATATCGGGCTCTTGAAAATATTTTTATTCCGTGCTTCAAGCGTAGCACCCAGCGCAAATCAAAAGGAGATTGTTTCAAATCTTAGTACATTTTAAAGCTAGCTATACAGGGTGTCACATAACGAATGTTACATACTTCAAGGGTATAATCTAGGTCTAGAACCCAAATGGTGCCGATTTAACCAAATTTGCTTAAATGAAAAATGTCGCAAAAAGTTACAGGATGTATAGTTATACATTTTTTGTGTAGAATAAAATTATCTATTTTTGATAGTTCCGTGTAAAAATTTAAACGGGCAAAAAAGTTACACAAGAATATTCACAAAAGGTTGTAATAAAATGAACGTCCTGTATGATTGAACCTAATAGGAACATAATCACTGGATACTTCATGAAGAGAAACTAAGCAACAACAAAATTTGCTCACATCGGTTAACTGGGTTCTGAGTTAAGTAGAAAACAAGAAATAAAAAAGAAACACACCCTGAAATTTTTTCTTGCGACATTTTTCTTATAAGCAAGTTTGGTTAAAACGACACCATTTGGGTTCTAGATAAAGTATGTAAGGTAGAATGAAACATGTTTTCCCTATTCTTGTCGAATTAAATGATAAATTACAAGAGAAAAAGTCCTTTTCTACTGATTATCTAAGGCGACATTTGATAATATCAAACTTTTCATCTGCTAGTGACAAGTTGAGAATATTTGTGTTATATTTCTATTGTAGTTGATGGCGTTGCATATGCGGTGTCTAAGTAAAGTGTTATCGCTTCAATAACATAAAAAAATCGACGAAGAACTTAATTATGCCGTAAAAATTTAACGATTTCCTCCGCACAAATAGAATGAATTTATATTTTAAAATAAGTGAGTGACTACATTAGCCTCTTTTTTGATTCGGCGTTGAAACGTTTATAGCCAGCATACCGACTCAATTCTATTTCTAAAAACAGAAAAGCTGATTCAAAATACAGTTGAGAGAGCATTAGCGATCGAAATGGAAACAATTAATTCGCTACTTTAGATACTTTCAGATCCTGTAAAAATTCTTACATATCTATACAAAAATAGTCTTTGTTAATAGTGACACACTATATAACTACAAAAGTATTCATAACCCCTGACAGTGTTCAGTATTTTAATTATACGTGCAATTCTGTAGATGATATCTGTGAAATGCATTAAAAGTTAACTGCATCAATAAAAACTCGCCAAGAAAGCAGAAAACAAGCTCAGTATCAAATGCTGTGGAAGATGTTAAGTGTGCAGTCTAAAAATATATCATTTCGATATTCGTTAAGAAATACGTACCAATAACATTTACCAGAGCTAAAACTTCACAGACGTAATATTTGTAGGCCCACCAATTATGGTACCGCAAGTTCTCCCACAAATAATCGATCATGAGCTTCTTCTTTTGTTTCTTTTCGATTTCGCTGCAAACCGCAACGTCGAGATCCATCATCAGGGCGTGGATTTTACCACCTTCCCACGATTTCCACAGCCATCTGGGTGTGTAGAATAATATCGCCTGTAAAAGAATTTTTTTAAACTTTGAAGTACATTATTTTAAGTTGCATCACAGTATACAGAGATATATTAAGGAGATTTTTGTCAAAATAATATAAAATTTCTATTTCTCAAGCCAAAATCTTAGGGCATATTCATTCATAAGAAAATACATTCATTTATTTTTCCGAATATGCAGAATGTAACCAAACAGTTCAGCTAGATCTTAAAAATTATAAGAAAATTAAATATATTTACAAAAATTAGTTTATTCTAAAAAAATCATATTCTAAAGTTGAACTTTTTCAGCGTTTTTCACAAAAACACATTTCAAGAGGGTAAACTACCCCTTATTAGTAGGTACATTTCACTTTCCTTTGAAAAATTGTTTGTAATATAAAACTGAAGTAATTGTATTTACATGTATTAACAATAAATAGTACGTGCATTTTAATAAAAGCACAAATGTAGTGGATATCGCATTTTGAGGGTTAAGCTACCCCAACCATTTCCAAACCATTTTTTTATAAATTTCCTGTGATAAAATAAAAGAAAATGACGAGTAGAAGTTTAGAAAAATATTTATATATGATTTTATTTATTTTAGAAGATAGTAGGTAGACTAAAATTGACTTGTCTGTGATTTCAGAAAACAAAATAAAACAAAGTTATTGTTTAATTATAACTTGATTTTAACGAAAGTCCTAAAGGTTTCTCGTTTCGGAATTAATAAAAAAAAAAATTGATCCTGATTTAAAAACGACAATATTTTGATGTTAATTTATCCATCGTAAGCTGCTCTGGACATTCAAAACTTGTCTTCTTAATTTTAAAATCAATTTTGTTCCATACAGTGTTAACAGCAACTTCTTTATATTTTGAAATTAGACTGCCATCAGTACTATTTTCATAGGATACTACTTTAAACTTTATAAAATTGTGCTTTCGTTTCGTGTCGCTAGAATTTTCGAATTGTATGGTAAACATATATTATGCTAATAGTCACCATGTTTGTGTCATTTTTGGAAAAACTGTCATGACATCATGTTATTTTTCAAATAACGATAAAAATAATTAATTTAATCAACTTACTTATGGCTAAAATAAAGTAAAATATATCATTTTTAGTTTTTTTGCAACCTGAAATGGCATTTTTTTTCTTTAATTTTTTTCGGCGACATATTTATAGAATTTTTAAATTGAATTGTAAAATACGCCAACTAAATTTGGCTACATATTAAAATATGTATATCGCATTATATATGTTTCGATAATGCAGTTAAAAAATCATTATTTTTAATAGCAGGTTACAAAATTTCAATTTTTAATTATCTATCACGGAAAATTTCAGAGTCAATCAAAGATCTAAAAAATCTAAGAGATTTTATAAGCAATCAGTCAGTTTGTTTTGATATAAAAATAGATAATAGCTAATGGAAACTATTTTAGATTTAGTGGGAGTGGAAAAAATGCGGTTTATATTTCTTCATAAAATTTACAACTTTCAAGAAAACGTTTTATTTACTTTACATTGTATCACTGAGTTGGTACTCAGAGAACAGAGAATCGATTAACAGAAGTAATTATTAGTTACATTCTATATTTCAGTAGTATTTTGCCGATTTATTTAATTAAATTACTGGAAATATGAAAACTGCTATGGTTATTTTGAAAATAATAAATAATACAACAATAAACACCATGAGTTATTTTTACTCATTGCTGCAAAAATGTCAAGTTTTCTGTGCAAAACTAAATCACTGGGTATAATGAAATAAATATTTTTTATTGTTCTAGGAACAATAACAAAATGTCCGTTCAGAATTTGTTGCGGTCATTCCGAAAACAAAGTGATCCGGTGTTGACAAATTTGAGAAATATTAATGCGGCCGAATTGGCCATAAATCGCTGGTTCTCTTAAATAAGTCGGTTCGTAACCTTGAGCTAATTCAATTAAAACTCATTGTCCGTTTATTTCTGGATAATCGAGACTTTATTCTATATCATTTTTTGGGCGGCCGACAGTTGAAATTAAAAATAGATTTTAAGCTGAAGCAATCACGATCACGAAGCAAATATATTTCTAATCAATTAAATTAAAAATAATTTATATAGTATAATGAGGGGCAATTTCAAAAAAATCTTTTGAAACTGTGCATTTAGTAGCCACCATGAAACTGTACTCTCTTTTGGGGCAAATCATCACACAGTTTTACGCCTAGGCATCTCACATATGGTTTCATGCAAAGATGATCAACTGTGGCTAATTTAAATATAAGGTCAATATATAGCAGGTCCCATGTACATTCAAGGTCAAGATGTTGCATATATTGGCTTTTGACCGTGTTGATAATGGTCAACATTTAGCAAAGTTGAGTACATAATAGTAATCTTTTATCTTTTCGAACTATACAGTATGTCCACGGCTAGAGTGGTAAAGAGGGAAAACATTTTTATTTTTCATTTTACGAGAAAAAGGCATTCTTGATTAAAATTTTTGCTTGTCTTTAAAATGGAGAATAAAAAAGTTTGACACCAACCGTCACAATGAAAAGTGATAGGGTTTTGGAGTAATAGACCGATCGAAATAACTCATTTAGAGAGAAAAACAAAAAGAAAATTATTATCTGGACTTTTATAAGTGGAAATGGTGAAGGGGCTTATAATAAACGAAAAAAAATAATAAATGCGTTAGCAGGGATGGCGGAGGGTTGATTTGGGGGGTTTAAAAGTTGTGAAAAATTGTATAATTGGGATTTTTGGCGAAAGTTGACCTCAAACAAAAAAGTGTCCACTACAAAAGTTGTAGATCATGTAAAAATCTACAAATTTTGTAGAAGTCACTTTTTAAGATAACCTCAAAATTTCAGAGAAAAATGCGATGAACAGGTTTTTCTGATTTTTCGTTTTTTAGTTCTCATTTCCGCAAATATACCTAATTTAATTTTTACGAAACTTGGTGAAAGTATATCTCTCTGTCTTAAATAACAATTTTTTTTAGATAAAAAAATCAAGAAGTTTCCAAGATATTCATTTTTTCCGGTCTGATACACTTTTTTTCAAAGAAAAATTCTACTTAGAAAAATCATCGTACAGAGTTCTGCCGGTGATAATTTTTTTCGTTTTGACGTATAGATACTCTTTGGTGAAATAAAAAAATCTGTAATCACAGTTCAAAAACATGCTCAAAAATACAAAAAAAAATAAAAAATGACTTGCAACAATGAATTTTTCAGTAATTGTTGATAATTTGTTTAAATTTAAAAAAAAATCAAAAACTAATTACACCATTCAATTGTACGGAAAAAATACAAAATATCAATAATTTAAAAAGTTACTTACCTAATAAAAAAATAATACGAATTTATGGAATATTTTATTATTTCTAATTAGCATTAATAATAGAAGTAAAAAAAATTGTTGGATATTTTGTGTGGTATTATGACTTTTATGCTGTTATGACTACATCCAATAGATATTTTGAAAGCGTTCAGAGCCGTAAACAGGAAAAATTTTAAATGATAGCTAAAACAAGCTAAAAAAAATAAAACGATTTTGTAAAATTTCGGGTTTTCGGGTTTCGCATCAACAGTAGACTTGCAGTTAATACTTTTTATTGCTGAAATCTCAAATCATCCAGAGACAATTTATCATTTGTACATTTGTTCGACTTAGATGTTTATAGCAAAAATAAAGATTTGGGTCAAACAATGAAACAGTTTTTTTTTTATTTCTTTCCGTAGAATTGAATGGTGGAATTAGTTTTTGAATTTTTTTTAATTTAAGCAAATTATCAACAATTACTGAAAAATTTATTGTTGCAAGTCATTTTTTTGCATTTTTGAGCATGTTTCTGAACTGTGACTACAGATTTTTTTATTTCACCAAAAAGTATATGTCAAAACGAAAAAAGTGATCACCGGCAGAACTCTGATGATTTTCCTAAATAGAATTTTTCTTTGAAAAAAAAAGTGTTTTTGATCGGAAAAAATGAATATCTCGGAAACTTCTTGATTTCTTTATGTAAAAAAAAATGTGGTTATTTAAGACACAGAAAGGTATACTTTCACCATGTTTCGTCAAAATTAAGTTATTTTTGCGGAAATCAGAAATAAAAAACCTGTTTTTTGCATTTTTCTCGAAAATTTTGAGATTATCTTAAAAAGCGACCTCTACAAAGATTTTTGCATGATCTACAATTTTTGCATTGGATACTTTTTTGTTTGACGTCAACTTTCGCCAGAAATCCCAATGATACAATTTTCCACAACTTTTCAACCCCCCAATCAACCCGCCGCCACCTCTGCTCACCCATTTATTTCTTTTAGGTTTATTATAAGCCCTTTTACAATTTCCACTTATAAAAGTCCAGGTAACAATTTTTTTTCTCCAATTGTAATTTGGTTGGACTATAATAGGTAGGTAGTGACAGTTTCCGTCGCAGCAAAAAATGTATTTAACACAATTTTTTGGCAAAATTACTAAATAGAATTCTTCATGTCAATTATATTTGAATGATTAGCAAAAGGCAGTTTATTCTTGAACGATTTTTATATTTACCAATATTTTGACCACGCTGGACATGCAAAATGAAAGTTCTCCATACCAACCGCAATTTAAAGGCAAGCAAAAATTTTAATAAAAAAATGTATTTTCCTCATAAAATGAAAAATAAAAATATTTCCCCCCTTTTCCACTCTAACCGTGGACATACTGTATACAGGGTGTCTCATTAAGAATGATACATAGGTAGAAGGCGTCAAATTAAAACAATCGAACAAAACATGCTTTAGTAGAATGTTAAAATTGTATTCACACATTATGGCTATTTTTATTAGATATTATGGTTAGAAAAAAAGGTATACTTGTTTAACGACGTTAAAGCCATTCGTTTTAGAGCAAAACGTGAATTAATTTATTAGTGCATATCCAAGATGATGTGAATTGATGATAATGAAAATCAAAAACAAGCTAGTCTTAAGACACAGTATAATTTTTGGCTCTCAAATCTAATACATTCTT